TTTTTATGGATGTTTTCAGGTAAAAAGAGTTGTGGCTTTTTAGGAGGGTTTTATGCTCAAGGCAGTTGATAGAAAGTTGCTGTTTCAAATCTTGAGATGTCTCAGTTATTTCTTTCAACACTATTATCCTTACACCAGTGTTAGACCCCTGAATGTGGTGGTGTTGCAGCCACACAGATGAGGGGAGGGCACCTGTACCTCACCAGCTATTACACCAAAAACCAACTGGTGGCATTTTGCAAACCTGCCCTCCAACAGTGGGATTTGTCTCCATTTCATTAAAACACGGGATAATGCATGGCCCCAGACAGCGCACAAAGCAGCAATTCACTTCCAACTCCTCTACGGAGGTTGTAGCACTAATGAAGCAAATCACATCTCAGAGAATATAGCCATGATTTAGTACGTGTATAACTGTAATAAAATGTTGTTATGGCTGAGATTGTTATGTTTTTAATGGAAAAAAGAAGAATTAGGATTGAAATTGAAAAACAACCTAGTTCCCATAAAAGTAAAAATGTGCTTGGATAAAAGGTTAATAGAGTTAATTGTGGGGAGCAATACAAGACAGCAACTCATGCTAGAGGAGATAATTGTGATTCTGATAAAGGGGAATTGTAATTAAATAGAGGCTGGATAAACACGATTATCCTGAAAAGGTTTCCCAGCACAGTACTGGGAGGGTGTAAGATGTGGAGGCAGACGCCTGTACGTGATCTGGCAGTAGAGACACCGCTGCTGCCAGCCTTGCTGGGTGCTCACCACTGCGGCACGCTGCCCACGCTGCACTCTGGCCAGCAAAAGGCAATAAATTGAGCTCATTTTGAAGTTTAGTTCACCTGCAACACCAACTGGCAAGTGATCTTCCTGTCTTGCTCTTCTCATTTCTGCTGGTCCCCATAGGGGAGGAGCTCTGGGTGCTGGCCAAGGCTGATCTGCTGCAGGATGGCTGTGGGTGGAGCAGGTGAGGGCATTCCTCCCATACGATGCTTTTCCCAGAACTGATAAAAGGTTTTTACACAGATATTAAAATGAAGTGCAGTGTTTTGATACTGAACCCTGAGAGACAAACAGGGACTTTCCACATTGATGTTACTGAAATGGGTATCTGTGCTTAACATTTTTATTTGTTGAGTTACCAATGTTCCACAATAACCTATATGAGATGAAGGGAATCAAATACAGCATATTTCTCCCAGGACAACCAGAAGAAGTCCAAAAAGCTATTTTGTTTATGTTTCCTTTAAATTGAGAAACATTTTTGCTATACTTTCAACTTTTAATGATATATCATTAAAATATAAATATACTTAATTTGAATACAGGATGGTATTAATTCACATTTTTCTATAATTCCTACTTATAGATTATTTTACATAACACATACAGAATAAAAACCCCTGAGAATTTACTAAGAAAAACTATCAAATAGTTCTGCTGCTCAATTATTTATAGCACTGTTTGGAATCGCTGTATATAATAACAATATACATTCCCAGATGCCCAAGGAAAATTTCTACTGGAGTTCTATTATTCCCTATTCAGAGCAAGTGAACATCTCTCTAGGGACTAAGCAAATTTCCCCTCTCAAAAAAGGGGGGGAAAGATCTTTTTGCTTTCAAGTTTTTGTTTTTCCAGTGCCAACTTCCAGATCTTCAAGTAGACTTCACAACCCCATATACAGAGAGCAGTTATCAGCCCTTACTGTCACCTTTAAGCTTCCTCTTTCAAACTTTTTTCCCCTGAAATTTTCTCCCCAGTCTCTGTGCTTACCTGTCCTACTTCTGTCAGTTTACAAGCTGCAGTGAATCCTAAAAGCAGGCTTGGACTCAAAATGTGTCCTCAATGTTTTTTGGGCACAATCTGCAACATTCTAGGTTGCTGACAATATACATATTGGAATAATCCCACAAGTAGTAGGGGGGATAGTATCCATTGTGTGAATGAGACTGAGAGCAAAGTGAATTGCAATTGTGGAAACTCCCAGCACGGTTTCTTTGGCTTTTTATCCCTGCAGGTGGCATGTGATACAGTAATTGTCTTACTCACATTCCAGTCTTCTCTGCTTGTTAAATGAGTTTGTTGAAGTTTCTTGTACCAGACATGCATTTGTTTGCAACCATTTCTAAGATCATGACTCTACTGCCTAAATCAGTTGTTGAAACTTGAATTCTGTGCAGAAAATATTTAGGTATCAAGGTTATTTTTAAACTCAGTCATGCACAACACCTTTGCTTCCTTGTCTACAACTACTTTTTCTTTTCAAGAGATTCTGTTTATTGAAGCTTACAGAAAGAGTAATGATTTCTTTTTTTTTAATATTTTTAAGCTTCCACTGAGTTCATTTCCTGGAGGGATATTTCTTTTTGTCACTGTACAGCAACTATACACAGGACCTAGAATAAAACACAGATGACAGAGTAATATTATTCCCACAAAACACCTCTAAGGACATTGGCTGCATACACAGGTTTTGCTATCCACAAAAATTAATGTAGAGATGGGAAAGTTAAGACCAAGTTGTACACCTACCCAAAACATGTTTTGAATAGTCTGCCACACAGTGTTTCTGGAAAAACAACCTTTCACTGGTGAGTGACATATTTCAATTCCCTAAAGGAGAAAGGGGTTTTGAGAACATATATTTTTACTAATTCTGCAACAATCAAAACTGAACTCTGGAAAATGTGTTTAATTTCTATGAAAATGTAATTCCTCTGGCTCTGACTTGCTAGCAGTGATTTTTTTCCCAACATTTTATTAACATGACATTTTTACTTGAGAAAGTAGCTGGCACGTGCTGTAAATTTTGTGCTCTCCCAGGAGAAAATGAAGCAAGAGCTTTAAAAAGGAAACAGTGAAATGGTTACTGCTCGTGTTTACTGACAACTGAAGGTGAACCCTTCAGTTATTTTGCTGTCCCCCAGCCTCATATCCTCCAGTGAGAGGATGGAACACTGAGCTCCCTGCCATGGAAAAGGACCTCTGCACGACTTGCTGGTAGTGCACTGACTGAGTGAAACAGGGGCAGCTTCATAAGGAAAACTGAGGCTAACACACATCAGAATTACAAAAAGTAAAATTACAAAACATGTTTAAACTCAGTGAATGCAGCTGTTCCCCTCCAGTGCAAACTACCACCAGGAAAGATGATACTGCACAAGAGATCAATGTTCTCTATTCCAGATGTCTTGTTCAACTACTCTTCATCTAATTTTGATTAAGGTACCTCCATATATGTTTGTATATAACAGAATTTAAGAAAATTTTGTAAGCATGGGTGCCACCCCACTCCATTGAAGACCAGGAGAACTTCAGCCTCATGAGGACAATGGAAAGAAGTTATGAGTTCCCAAAGCCTGAATACTCCTGAAGTTTTGAGGGGCTTAAATAATCTTGCTGGTGATAGGTGTCTAGCCAGTACAAAGTTGATAAATCAAGCTATGAAGTTTTTTTTTTTTCTTCACTGATGAGATGTTCTAGAAAAAGAATTCCAAAAAGCTTTCTCCCACTGGCATTGGAAAGCATTTGAGCCTTGTATTTATCATTTGTTCAAATTAAGAACACTAACACATCTCAGGTCAGGTAAAGGTGGATTTCCTCTGCTACCTTTTGTCTTCATTTTATCAAGCATATTCTCAGCTTTTTCACAACACAGAAGTGATGTCCTTTGCAGCTATGTCCCCCTTTCATGAAATATACACAAGCATCCTGGTAAATCTTAGCTAGAAAGGTGATGCAGGCAGTAAAAGAAAATAATGTGGAACACTTTATGGATGAAAGACATGCCCTGATAAACACCACATGTGTGTTTATCACATGTAGACGCAGGCAAGGTGGGAAAGACAGAAATTTAAATGGAATATTGTGGTTTTCAAAATATTTTGAAGGTAATGTCCAATCCAAATCCCTCCTGACACAGCTTGAGGCCATGTCCTCTTGTCCTGTCACTAGCTGCCTGGGAGAAATGGCCAACCCCCATCTTGTTACAACCATGTGGAGCAGAATGGCAAACACTGGAAAGAGCAGATGGTAGTGATGTTTTGCTTGCTGGTAACTTATTTAGAAGACACCAATATTGAAGTCTTTATCTTCAGTTGCTTTTATGGGTGTGTGCCTCCACCATTCCTACCCTTACATGCCCAGATCTCTTTTGCATCACTACCATTTTACCTTCTTACCTACAAAGGTATCCAAAATGAAAACAGTAGAGTTCTGTCTACAGTTAAACTAACCCTTTCTTTATTGCAATGGTAGTGAGAAATCCAAGCCAAGGAAGAGAAAAAACCTTGGAAAACTCAGGTTTTGGGTGTGCAGGGGTATTACCCAGCATAAACTTTATTAGGAGACATTATTTTCCTATGTAAAGAATATCTACCATGATTCTTTGGCTATATTTCATTGGTTTCACTTTAAATCTCATATCTGTTATTATCAAAAGTCCTTAGTGGAGGCCCTGAGAGGCTACTTCCCTTGACACAGCCCTGAAGCTGCGAGACACAATTGGCAACACCACACAATCCATATGTAGGCTGGCTACAACCCCATTTTCCAATGTGAGGTAAGGCAGCAGCTTTGATCGTTGGCTATCTGTTGTCCTCTATGACAATGGTTCTTCTTGGATACGTCTCAACATCCACAAATATGTAGCGAACCTCAAATCTTCCTGTTTCAAGATTCTGGAAAGAAAAGAATTTCAGAGTGTTTTTTTCTCTTTGGTAGTTTAAGTTCAAGACTAAGCTTGTCAGGAGTATCAAGCAATTGTACATACCTCTTTGACTTCCACATGGACTGTTCCCTGTTTCCCTGATTCAGTGCCCTCAATATAGAACTTCAAACGCATGTGTTTCAGTCCATCCTTTACGTATTCAATGTGACTAAAAACAGCAACACAAAACAAAAACCCAACCACCCAGCAAGAATACAGATTATATGCTAGTTAAGACTTCAAATTTAAAACTTACTTAGAGGAGTTGCTTACTTATTTTGTAAGAAAGTGTATTCCGGTGGTGTCCTTATGCTACCTTGGCTTCCTTCTCTACTGCTCCTCTCAAGCTTTACTGTGAGTGCCTAAGGACTAGTGGAGTTAGAAGAGCTAATTAGCTGCTGAGCATTATGAGATTAAATGCTTAAATGTCCTCACCCCAGTCCTCCCCTCAAAACTGAAAAGCAATCCACTGCTGAAGACCATGGAAATTCCTTGTATTTATTCTAAAAAAAACCCTGACTTGGAGATTTGGAGCCCAAATCTAGAAAGAGACCCCACACCACCAAGACTTCCAGAGTTTTCTTAGACACTTAAACTAAGTCATCAAGCCAAAACATACAGAACATGCTTTTCCAAATTAATTATCAGGTTGGTTAAACCAAATCAAAACGAACAGCTTACCATGTGCTTTACTTTGGCAATAATTTTGTTCTGCTGAAATTGTGGAACTTTGGCACTGTTTGAGATCTCCAACCTAAATGCTGGAGTTGGGTTATGCTCATGTATTAAATAAATAGCACATCACTTTTAAAGTGACTACTTTGGGAAACTAATGATCCCATGAGAGTTCTGGTGCCAGTTTATGTTTCCTACTGAAATTATTAACTGCTGTTTAGCACCAATCTTTATTTCTATAAGGCATGCCCAGGTACACACTATGAAATAAACCTGCAATACAGTTTAAAGTGACATGATGGGGTAGAGAGAACAAATATGATCAAAGAGCCTTACTGCAGTAAATTTACATTCAAGGTGTTCATACACAGAAAACCCTGTGGATTTTTGAGATATTTAAAATCATTCTTATAGTGCAGATGCAAACTCTACAATCTTACCTAGTTCTCAGCTCAAAAATTTATTTAAAATACAAGGCATTCAAATTATGGAAATTAAATACTAGGAAAGTGGATTCACAGTAAATTTACTTATTTACAGACGTGCTCAGAATGTTTGTGCACATCAATTTCATTCAGCAGCTTCACTTTAAACATTATGTCACAGAGTCTGGTGAAGAGATAAAGCTTCAACGAGTAAAAGTCACTTTCATCAGAAAAAATAAAAAATCTCAATTTCATGGTTCAACCTCTATCTGGGCTTATGTGTCTCATCCTATATGAAACCTCATTGAATGCATTCCTGCCAAATAACCCAATAAAGCAGGGAGGACTTATGTTTTGTAAGAAATAATTCTGTTGTTTCTTTCAAAAGGAAAATAACAGATACACTCATGAAAGGTTAAGGTGATAGATGTTCTGTTAAATACACATTAGAGATGTTGCCTCAAGTACCAAAAGCATTTTGCGTATCAGTTCAGTATAGTTTCAGACTGTAAACTTCTATCAGATTACTGCTCCCCCATGCAAGCCTAGGCCTCTGTACTACTATTTTTAGACTCATCCTATTTTTTGGAGAGCTCTGTGTCTACCACGAAGACATTGCTTGTTTTGAGGCACTCAGAATTGGCATTTACGGTGTACGGCACACAAGAGGTACTGCAAAAAACTTCTATGTTCAATTAAAAGTGACAGGATGTGTCACATGCAGTTCATCACTCTAGAACTAACTTGTGATCCAAAAATATCTTTGCTGTGCAAAAACTGATGTCTTTATGGGGCATACACCAAGGGGTACCTGACATGCTGTCGTCTTCCTCTTCTTGTTGCCTCTCCATAACCTTTGATAGAGTCACCAAAAACAGCAATTATCTACAAGACAAAAGAGGTTTGAGCTGTCAGAAAGGATCACATATAAACAGGTATTCCAGTATCAGTTCCTGCCTCTGCTGTGAATGCATCTTCTTTTAACAAAATGCCCCTGGAGAACTTAACATGTCAAGAATACAAGCGTTTATGAAAGACAACAGTTAAAGGAAAACTCCTCTGTATTCCAGTCCTTTTTAATCTTTATAGTGCCATATTAAATGTCTAAAATAAATCCTATTGATATCCTCCATTTGTACTGTTCTCTGAGATGAAGACGTGTAACCTGATATTTTGTGTAAAAAGAAAAAAAAAAAGCACAAAATATTTGCTCACATTTCCTCCAAGAGAATATGTTTCAAAGTTGAAAATGCAAATGCACTCCCCTTCATATTATCTAAAAACCACTACTGAATAAAAAATTTAGTAATCTTTTTTCTGATCTATAGAGTCAGAGTAGATCAACTTAGTCTTAAATGTACTTTAAATTTGGTTAGAAGGGGAGGTTAAGTTTTACTCTGCAAGCACTGGAAAGAAGTTTTAATTCTACAAACTCATTCCAAAGCAGTCTTAATTTTTATTTGAGCAACAACTTGTCACTTAATTTCTACGTTATCCTCAAAGGCATCTGTAGCAACCTTGTTTGAAGGATGTTTTGTCTGAAGTAGTTTTTTTTTAAAAAATCTAGTTCCATATTGATTTTTGTTTACACATAGCTATGACAACTATGTGATCCCATGACTCTTCTCCACCTGTTTTCCAGTTAGCCAAAAGAATGCTAATTGTGCTCCAAATGAAAAATTTAAATTCCTGGGTATCAGCACAGTGCCTCACAGAATGACAGAACCATAGTGAACTGTCACAATAGAGTAAGTGTGCTGAGAAAAGGCAGCAGGTAAGCTCTACACAGCTTAGTGGGACCAGTGGCCTCTCTGACCTGCAGAATTCAAGTGCTGGATTTAGCAGGCAATCAGAAAAGTCCCGAAGACTTTCTGTATGGTGACACAAGTGCATGCTCTGAAGGGCACACTGTATTTATATCAGTTTTTGTTCTGTGGCACAGTTAGCTGGCTTCTAGCAGGCTAGTTCAGACAAGCTTAATGCTTGCACTGACTTGTCCTAAGGGAGGCTTGCTCTGGAGCTGAGGCACCCCATGCCAGCTAAAAGCACTGGCAGAACTGCTCAAGCACCACGTGGGGCTTCACGCAGCTTGTGAGATTCCTTGCACAAAGTTTTGACTTGAAGAGAGACAGTAACTACTGAGAAACAAAAACTTAGGACTAAAGTTCAAAAACCAACCTCAGGGTGAGATCTGCATTTCTCCAAGGCATCTCCATAGATCTTATTTGGACTAGAAGAAGAGAACAGCTCTTTAAAAATCACATAGAACAAACCACCTGTAACAGAAACAATATCAGATGGAATGAAAACTTTTCAAACCAGGCGGAATTAATGAAAAGTGTCTTCTGATAAAGAATGTAATTTAAAAAAATAACCTGTAACACCAATTCCAACAAGCACCACAATAAAATAGGTAAAGTCTCTTCCAGCTTCTTTCACTGAAATTAAACAGAAAACAACACATAAGTTACAAACTTGGATAATAACACTTGTATGACTTTCTTACATAAATGCTCTTTTGTTAGTCTGTAGCTCAAATAACATTTTAGCAGAAGAAAAAATTCCAGTAACAGTTTCCTTAATGCCTCGTTGATGTAAAAGAGACCATGGAACATCTTTTATATTGTACAGGGCATGTTTACATCTCTGTGTTAAGCATTATTACTTTGTTTGCCAGATGTTTTCAAGATCCAAAGTAGCAATCACTGCTACTTTTTGGGTGCTTGAGAGCCAGATTTTTCAGGAACTAATGAGGGATTTAGAACTGCAGTATTCATGCTACCACCTAAACCCACAACCACTGAAATCCTTATGCAAAGAAAAAAGTAAAAATAAAAAAGTAAAAGCTTATAAGTTCCACCCACTGAAAAGAACTGATTTTATGAATTTGCAATCAATAGAAAAATAAAAAGGGGGATATTACACCAAAATAATTTTTAACATTAACTGCTGTTTGTCTGATTAGTTTTTATCTTTCAATTTTGATCGAAAGTACAAGTGTCAGTATATACCACAAAATAAGTCATAGGAGATTCTCTTTTTCAAAATATTTGAGTACTTGGAAAGAGACTACTATCCTTTAGCGATAAAGTGGAGTATAAGTTATGGAGGAAACATTAATAACTATTTCTCCTGCAGTCTTCTAATCAGTTGAAGGTGTTTTTCATAAGTAATTTCAAAGTACTTAAATTTTCTGAGGCTAATTATGTAGTAACCACTTTTCACTGAAGTGAATGAGACCAACTAAAGTGAAGGCAATCCCTAAAGAAACTACCATCACATGTAGAGCTTTGACAATTTTGTTGGAGGTGAACTTATTTCAACAGCTGTACAGACAGGCCGCATGTGATAGGTTTTCCTTCTGAAAATGAGAGGCTATTATATCTTGTGCCTGATAATTATTTAGATCAACAGGCTGTTTCGAAGAAGTCACATAATTTATTCTGATTGTGCAATGCATACAGAGAAGTGTAACATCTGCTCCAAACAATACGATGGGAAAGGAAAGCAGCTTGGTGTGCTGAGATCTTTTTTTTCTAGATACTTGATGTTTGGAAGTACAAAACTTTAGCTGTAGAAGGAACCGTCTCCAGCCCTTCTGAGCAGCACACAGCATCCTCCGCCTTACCTTTCTGAGCCGCCGACACCAGCGTTTCCTCGTTCAGCGCCCTTTGCACGGACACATCCTTGCTATTACCTCCCTGTTTTGCAGCTTTCAGCCCTCCCGCCCGCGTCCCGAAGCTCTGCCGGGCGGCGCCGAGCAGCAGCGGGGGCTGGTGCCGCCAGTCCGGGCAGGAGCAGGAGCAGGACGGGGTGCGGGCCCCCAGGAGCGCCCAGCCGCGAGTGGCGAGCAGCCAGCGGCCCAGGCAGCCCCGCCCGAGGGCGGCGGGCAGCGTGCGGGGCAGCACGCCGGGCATGGCTCCCGCCGCCCGCACAGGGCAGGCCGGGGCACGAACGGAGAGTTCGCGCCGCTCGCCGGGGAAGTGCCCGGGCAGCCTGCCGCCCCGATGGCCGCTGCTCCAGCTCAGGAGCCCACCTGAACCTTTACCGCCGGCGGCCGCCGCTGGCCGCTACCCCGGCGGAAATGTTCGGACGGCGGAGCAGCGAGCGGCGGCGGCGGGCGCTGGGAGCCGTAGTTTGAGCGGGCTCCCTCTCCCGCCCGCCGCCGGGAGCGGCTCGCAGCGAGGTCACTACAGCGCCCGCCATGCCCAGCGCCGCCGCTGCCGCTGGCACAGCCCGCCCTCCGCGGGCGGGGACCCCCGGCTGCTTTCGGGGTGGGAAGGCGGCGGGCAGCTCGCCGCGGATGTGGTGCCGGTCGCCCTTGTAAAGCTGTGTTTTCAGACATGTTTTTCTTCGTCTTGCCCACATATATTTGTTAAAGCGATGCATTGAGGTTTCCGCGAATGGAGACGGCTAGAGGGATCTGGACAGGCCAAATCATTGGGCTGAGATGGACGGCATGAAGTTCAACAAGGCCAAGTGTCGGGTCCTGCTAACAAGAACCCCAGGCAGCGCTGGGGACAGAGTGGCTGGAACGGTGCTGGTGGAAAAGGACGTGAACCAGTGTGTGCCCAGGTGGCCAAAGCCAATGGCTTCCTGGCCTGTATCAAAAGCCGTGTTGTGAGCAGGACTAGGAAGGAGATTGTCCCACTGTAGTTGGCACTGTTGAAGCCGCACCTTGAGTACTGTGTTGAGTTTTGAAGCCCTCGGTTTAAGAAGGACATTAAGCTGGTGGAGCAGGTCCAGAGAAGGGCAATGGAGCTGGTGAAGCTGCATCACAAGTTTTATGAGGAGTGGCTGAGGGAGCTGGGGATGTTTGGAGAAAAGGAGGCTCAGTGTAACTTTATCACTCTGTACAAATCCCTGGAAGGAGGCTGTGGCCGGGTGGGAGACGGCCTGCTCTCCGAGAAGAGGAAATGGCCTCAAGTTGTTCCAGGGGAGGTTTAGGTTGGACATTAAGAATTTCTTCACAGAAAAGTCGATTAGGCATTGGGATGGGCTGCTCATGGAGGTGGTGGAACCACCACCCCTGGTTTAAGAAAAAACTGGTATTGGCACATAGTGGAATTGACATAGTGCTGTGGTGTAATTGACATGGTGGTGCTCGGTCATAGGTTGGACTAAGTAATCTCAGAGGTATTTTCCAAGCTAACCAGTTCTGTGATTCTGAGGCCCGAGAACACAGTGCCCGAGAGCCCCGAGCTCCCTGTGGGCCGGAGAAGGCACCAGGATGCTCATGGCGGCAACACTGCCGTTCCCGGGACGTTAACGCTTCCCGAGTCCCCGCACTGCCGTGCTCCAGCCCCGCCTTCCCCAGCCCGCGCTCTGGGCACCGCCTCCCTCGGGCTGCCGCCGTCCCACCCCGCCCCAGGGCATACTACGGGAGGTGGCAGCGCTTGTTCCTCCCCTGCCCTCCCCGCCGGGGGTGCGAGGCCGCTGCTGTTCCGCAGCGCAGCGGCCATGGCGACGGGCCGTGGCAGGTAACCGCGGGCGCGCCGAGCGGGGCTCCGCCGGCCCGGGACTGCCTGCTCGGCCTTCTTCACCTTTTCCGGGGAGGGTGGTTTGCTGTTTTCCCTCAGCTCCCATTGCTCCCCTGGGAAAGTTAGTTCACCTGTTCCACGGCTCTGGTTTCTAGCTCTTTACTCTTCACGGCCAGGGCTGTGGGCGTAGTGCTCTCCTCTCCCTTCCCCTGGCCTTATGGACGCCTTGCAGCGGGAAAACGCTGGTGTTGCAGGTGCATGGTGACCTGAGTTTAACACTTTTTTTTTTCTGCCTGGAAAAGGGAGCTTAAACTTCGATATGTGCTTCAGCTTGGAGGAGATGTTATAATGAGAATACACAAAATTAGTTTAATGTCTACTTTATGTGGTTAGGTCTCTGTAATAAATAGGAGGATTTCACTGTGGAAGGTGTGATTACCTTAATTCTTACAGTGCAGGTTTAGCTTTCAAAATTTTAAAGCATCAGTCTGAGAGGCATAGTTGAGAAAGCAGATTTTTCTGCTTGCCCATTCCTTCAACCTTGAGTTTCAGAGCAGTTTCATTCCCACTGCTGTTTGTTTGTTTGTGTTTGTTTTTTTTTTTTTTTTTAATAGCTAGTGAGAGTCTCCTTGTTAAGGCTCTAATTGAAGTAATAAGCTTCTCCTGCTGTTTTTTTTTTTTTTTTTTTTTTAACCTGCAAATGGATTGAGGTAATACCCACCTTTTAAAAAGACTGAAATTGTTAGCTGAGGGAACAAAACCCAACCAACCCATGTCAAAACATTATTGTTATTTTTGTTTATCCCCAGATGCACTCTAACACGTGGAGGAGACCGGTGTTATCACTACTTAAAACTTTATGTTATTTGAAATGTAACTCGAAAGACAATGGTTTGCTGACCATCAAAAAACCAGGGCACATTGCAAGTATTATGTGAAAGTGAAATACTGGTATGAAACTGAGCCACACAGGTTGAAAGCTAATGAAAAAGCAATTGAAGTTGCTGTGCTTCTTACATAAAATCATCTCAGTGGTTCTAGAAGTTTCTAAAGAGGGGGTGTAACAGCTGTCATTGATTTTATCTTAGGCTTATCTGCCCAAGCTGTGTCAATGCAATGTGAAAGCATTCTGTTAATGCTAATTTAAAATCTTAGCACACACAGTACTTGAAAAGTAATTTATGGGTTTGCTGTTTGTTTCTTCACACCTTGAGAATATTTTTGTTTTGGAAGATGCAAAAGTTCTGCAGTTTATTTTTTTTTTAATTGAAGCTTACAAAAACAATAGCTGTTGCATTAAACTTTTTGAGGCACGTATGGGCAAAATGTTTCTTTCCTCAGATATTTCTCCCTGGGGTAAAGGAAGGGGGGGGGTGGTTTAAATGAGCAAGAAGGACTGAATACAGGCTATGCAGGTTATGCTTGTCCAAGTTAGTGTGTTTTAAAATCCAGAATCCAGCTTCTTATCAGAATTAGTCCCATGGCTGGAGTCTGTGAAGTTGTGTCCCTATAGAGTATGCCCAAACACTCTGCTTTCAGCATGGATTCAGGGCAGAATAGCCTGGGATTTGCTGCCCTGAAACATACAGAAGTGATAGCTCCTGCTGCTGTTGGTCACAACTTGTGTCTCTAAATCCCTTTAATGGCTGTTTGTTAGTGCCTCATCATCTAGGAGTTCTTGATAATGATACATGACTAAAACCCTTGTTTGATCTCCAGGGTCTATTATCTTTATTATAAGACTGCTTTTTTGTAGTTGTTAATTTAGTTGGTCTGTCAGTGATAGACCAGCACCCTGGCACTCAGGCTGAAATGCGCATGTCTTTTTGTTAAGCTTATAACAATTCTCAGTAAAATGTCTTGGATTGTTTTTTTAACATAGTGCAGTTGACAATGTAGACCAGAGTTGTTAATTTCTTTTTATTTTATTTTATTTTTCTTTGAGCATAAATCAATCTTAAATCAACATCAGTAGGTATTAAATTTGTATGGTAGCCATATAGGTTAAAAATAGCTATTCCACCCTCCCCCATATGGATTGGTTTCCTAGAAACCCAGAGCTGGTTTGGCCAGGTGTTGGAAGTCTGCTGGCAATTTAAAGCATCAGTAACACAGTGAATGGGGAGCTGTGCCTGCTTGGTGTATTTGGTTTAAGATTGGAACTCTGTCTCCGTATTTCTCTATGGATTAATGATAGTATGTGTTTGCAATTGCAGCTTATGAAGTCCTTCTTGTCAGAAAACTTGGAAAAATGTATGAGTGGTTGGATTGTAAGAATTTGTGTTATAAATATGCAAAGTTCCTTTCTTTTCTATCCAAATTGTGATGTGGAAGTGTTAGCAAAATAGGTTCTTTCACTGTGATGTGCAAGAGGCCAATCCAGACACAGGGTTGAGGTTTTTGATATAATTACAGTTCTGCATAGAAAGGGATGCTGGGTGGCAAATCCACAAAGCCGACACACCAGCTATCGAAACGTTTTACTATTTTATACATTTTAGCTAAGGAAGGAATTAGTTTTCATTGCCTACCAGTTACATAATTCTCTTATTAATTAGTTTTCTGTCTTCTATTGGATAATGATTCTCTTCCCTCTCATGCTAATTACTTTGCATGTTCAGTCTTTATCTTTTTTGAGCCAGTGAGTTCCTTGAGTAAGTGATTGCAATCTCACATTTCTGGAAGCTGGGGCTGATTTCAGCACAATTGCTGAGTTGGCTGTAATAGTTACCTCCTTATCTTGGGAGTTGTTCCAGGTATCCTTGTGGCCTGTAAATTCTGCATTCTTTGTGCCACTAGCAGTGGCCATCCTTCTTCCCAAGCTTTGTTAACCTCTCCCTAGGTCTGAAATCAGTGAAGCATGTCAAGCTCTAAACCTTAACAAAGTAATTCTACCCACAAGTAATTTATCTGTCTAACATCTGGACATCCCTTGGAGCTTGCTAGCTGCCCTCTGTTTCATGGATTAAATCTCCTTTCTTGCTGTTCAAGCAAGTAAAGAAGATGGTATAGTATGAAAGTATACAAATTCTTTTTGAACCACAACAGTTTCTGAGGAAGTTTCAACGTATTGTTTTTATCTGGTATCTTTTAATAATTTAGCAGAGTTGGGTGGCTCAAAAATGTCTCTGGATTAATGTTGTGAAACAGAAGATTAATCAGTGAGTTTGACTTACTGCAGGGGCCTCAGTGGGAGCTTGTTTGTGGTGGCCAAGCAGTGGTGCTGCTGTCTAAGGATAATAGATCTCCGCAGGATTCAAACTGATTTGAGGGAACACTATTATTCCCTTTGCCTGCTGTGAGAGATCTATCACAGGACTGACAGCTGTGAGTTTAAATCTGAATCTTCCTCATGCCAGGTATTTTAACTTGGGTGTAATTGTTCAGATAATAATGGTTGTCATGTGATGTATTCCCTGTTCAGATAATAATGGTTGTCATGTGATGTATTCAACCTGCATTGGTTGAAATATTGTGTCTAAGTGTGCGCAGTATGTGTATTTCTTAATTTTGTGAATATGTGACTCTTAACAGCTTTTTCTTGTTACAAGTAGATTAAGGACCTTTGCTGCCAGGCCTAGGGAATGTTCTGAAACTGTAAATGCTGGAATTAAAAGTCTGTACTTGACGCCTCCCGTAAAACCGAAACCAAGTGTGCGCATTGAGAGGTGAGTATGTCTTTATGTGAGTATGTCTTTAGGAGTAAGAGTGGAAGTCCCCCTGTAAGCTGTCTTTTGACTGCTTGCAGTAATTATTTTCATATCTTAGCGATTTCTAGGTCAGATACTCTGAGTTGAAAAGATTTGCTTTCCTGGCCTACTTTAGGATCCTGTATCCACCTTCTAATGTTTTCTGGTGTGGTTTTCCTTTGTGTTCTTTTCTAAGTTCATAAGGAATATGTACGTTTTCCAAGCCATGTGAAGCCTTCAGCAACTCCTTTGGAAGTCATGGGCAATGTTGTTCCTTGAGAATAAAAATTGGTATTTTATTCCTTCAATGAAAGCCAGTTCAGAATTAAACTACTTCTGTTTCTCTTGGTAGTCATCAAGTGGATCTTAGTGTATAGAGAGGCTGAGAATGGTGGATGGGGATGAGGGAGGAGGAATAAGTGGCTGCTGCATATTTGATACAAGGTAAATGTTTCTCTTCCTGTTTGACGGCAAAAAGGCACTTTCAGTATAATTGTGAGTTTTCTTTTTGAAAATTAGTTACATTTTTTCACAAAAGAATTCTAAGAATATATTACCTGAAAAACTAATTAGTTTTCCTTGTTTTATACATTTGATATTGTGACGGTGTTCACAGGGGTCCGAGGAAGAGGGAAGAGACGAGGATCTGACTCCATGTTTCAGAAGGCTTGATTTATTATTTTAGATATATATTATATTAAAACTATACTAAAAGAATAGAAGAAAGGATTTCATCAGAAGGCTGGCTAAGAATAGAAAAAGAAAGAATGGTAACAAAGGCTTGTGTTGGACAGAGAGTTCGAGCCAGCTGACTGTGATTGGCCATTAATTAGAAACAACTCTGTGAGACCAATCACAGATGCACCTGTTGCATTCCACAGCAGCAGATAACCAGTGTTTACCTTTTGTTCCTGAAGCCTCTCAGCTTCTCAGGAGGAAAAATCCTAAGGAAAGGATTTTTCAGAAAATATAATGGCTACATGATAGCTTTCTGTGTATTGCTTTCTCTGTTTTGCATTGGATAGCCAGTGTAATATTTCAGTGCTGTCAGATGGGTGTAATACTGAGAGAAAAAAGAAAAAAATCCTTTCAGCTTCCTTCAGAAGAAAAAGAATATGGTTGAAAATTCTGGATCAAGTGTGTTATTTTAGCTAATCTGCAGCCTTTTAAGGTATCGCTTCTAAATTATCTCTGGAATGAGTGCACTAACTGCTTTGGGCTTACAGTGTATAAGTTATTTCACATAATAACAGTGCCAGTTTTGGCATGTTGCTTCTATGTCAATGCTACTAAGATTCTGAGTTTAATACAAACACTGAGATATTGGCATTATCATGCTACCCTTTAAAGCTCTCTGCTTCTGAAATAGTGTTATAAATCAACAAGTGTTGCAAATAACCCAGTAGTAAAAGGACAAGAGGCACACCTGGAGCATTGACTTTCAAAGCACCTTTTATTTTCAGTGGTGATTTTGATGTGACCATACTCAATGCCTAAGGAAATTAGAGTATAAAATGCATGTATTTTAAACTCTGTGCAGTTATGAGGTACTGCTCAAATGGTATAGGGTTCCTGTCTGTTAATGCAGAAATCACATTGGCTCATCTCCAGGGTATATTCTGCTTGCCATGCTTAGACTGGCACCTGCATTTCGTGCAGCATTCCAGATGCACAGAGACATTGACATTTTCAAGATATCACTTGGCTCTTACTTTGATGTTCACATCTTTCTGTTGACATAAATAAAAACTGCACAAGACACCTGAGCATGTACAGTTTGAAGATTATGATGAGGTAGAGCATGTTCTTGCTGTTAGACCGGGGCATTTCTGTCCTGGTGCTTCCTGACACCTGACACAGCAGTCAAAAGGGAGGGTGAATATGTCTGCAGTTTTGCAAATGCTGGTTATGGAATAAATGTTAAAATAATAGTACAAGCAGCAAGAAACTGAAGCAAAACAAGATAGTTTCATGTCAAACATAACAAAATTTAATGGAAGTGCAAACACAAAACTTCTCAGGTAATTGTGCTGTGCCACTTGAATAAGTTGTCATGAATTATTTTAGGCAAATGCCACGTACCAGAGAATGAAATGAGAACCCAAACTCCACAGTTTAACTCTTCAGGTGATTTTTGATTCATCTGTTTACAACCTGCTGGTTTTCACCTCTTTTGTTTTTGTCTGGTATGAAATTTAAATTCTCTGCCGTTGTCATTTCTGGAGTTTGCTGGCATGTCTAACGGTATTTATTTTTCTTTTCCAGCATGCCATCAGAAATGCTGCTGAAGATATTTTCCTATTTGGATGCTGTGTCCCTATTGGCTGTTGGCTGTGTGAATAAGCGCTTCCATGAGCTGGCCAATGATAAGTAAGGAAGAGGGAAGGTCTCAGTTGTGCAGTAGATGTGTTTGCCTGAATTATGAGTCCTTCTAATTTAGTTCCTCTGATGCCAGAGCACTGATGCATGCAACTATGGGCACTTACTCTGTTGAAGTTGCCCTGCACAGCCCGCAGCATGCGTTGCATGGAATTCTAGCTGTTTAGGGCCTGTTGTTTAATGGGAGTTATGAGGTAAAAACTAAATCTAGTACTTTGAAATGTTGCTGTTAGCGCTTTTTTTTGTTTTAAATTTCTGTCTGAATTCACATGGACCTGCACAAACTTCTCAGTTCAGGTGATCCTTAATGGTGTGTCTCCAGCAGCTTTATGAAATTGTCATAGCTTTCACAATTTTGGAGTCCTACTTACTTAATTATTTCATCAGCTTTTTGCAGAGGGATTGATTCAATCAAGTGATACACTAGTGGTTTTTGTCTGTTGCTCTGTTTGTGAAATTTTGGTGATTTCTAATGCAGACAAAAGAGACGAAGATAAATACCGACACATTTTTTTATGAGGATTGCTTATTCAGAGTTCTTAATTTGTCCAATATGATGATAATTTTGTCATCAAAAAGGGTAAAGAGGAGACACCCAGATTGGTATGTGGTAACTAGGATCCGGGCATCCTTTTCTTTCTAGGATTCTGCTGCATTAGTGTTGTCCGAATGAGAAAATGTCTTCCTCTATAGGAGGTTGCTGTACCTGGTATTAATCTGTTTCTCCCTTATTTACTGAAACTTGTATAGTGAATCAATTTCTTTACCTTGGCATTGATACCTTTAGAACTGATGAATTTAAAGGGAAGATCTGTAGTCCAGATTAAGGTTTTGAGGCTGTCAGCAGGTAAGAGTAGATAAAAATTGCATAGTTGACACAAATTACCAGTCTTGGCATGTGTTTTCCACTTCAGGGTGGTAAGGCAGGATAAAATCACTGTGGCTGTCCAGGGGAAGATGATTCATCTGTCTCCATCGCGACGATCTCTGTTTCCGTTTTCTAATCTCAACAGAGATGAGTATGTGGGCACAAATAGGACTTGGGGAAGAGTTACTTTCCCTTATCTAGGAGCCTGACTGGTTCAGTGGGACCCAGGTCATTTCTTCCTGATGGATTTGAATGGACCTTCTTAAGACCCTGAGTCTTGCAGTGTATGAACAGAAGTTTTAATTGAAGTCCCTGCATATTTCTGTGACAAATCGGACGTTGGTTTTTAGACTGAGTGTCTTTTTTAGGATATTTCTGCTGTCCTTGATGCAACAGGACCATAAGTCTTTCATTGTGATATGTCTGTGCTGCCTAATGCAGTGACTTGTCTTTTGGCTGTTCATATAATGAGTGTGCTTGAGCAGTTAATAGCACTGATGTCTCCAATATAACTGTTGAAGACAAGAAGATGTTTATGACCCCCCCCTTTCTGCACCCTCTGTGCCCCAGCATGGGGTATTCCAGCCTTCCTGTCATGCAGTGTGGAAAGTTCACAGATACGGTCTGCCTGCAAAAACTTGAGGATTCTGATCACCAGAAGAACGTGCCTGTGTGAGAGGAAGCGAGAGCACAGGGTCTTTTGGACATTGTGGTCAAGTGATGACTGATGATGATGTGCCTGATTCTGGCATTTGAGTTAAAGGCTTGTTGTAGTAATTAATGTCCAGTAAGAGGTCTTGAGATGAGTATTAGCAATTTGAGGCAAAAAGGGCTTATATTCTGCTGTGAAAGAGGCAAACTTGTGCTTCCCTGTTGGATGCCTTTTTGATTTATCTGTCCTGAATTCTTCAAAAGTTGATGATAAAGGGGCAGTGATACCTTCCTAAACACTTGTGATTCTAAGTCTTCCTTCATCTTGTTCTCTGTCTCTCTGCCCTAGCTGAATTTTTGAGTTTCTTGAACTAATTTCTTTTCTTGCACAACAATGTTTTGGGAAAGGAAGAAGCAATATATTACTGAGAGTGAGTATGAGGATGTTAGGTATTTGTTATAGTCTGTTTTCAGTCAACCAAATTGCTTGAGTCTGTGACTCCAAAATGCAGGAAATGCCTACTACTAAGCCCTGTTTTTTCAGCATAATTCAGCAGAGTATCTCCCTCCATCAAAGGATGTCTCTCTTGGGAAGGGGTTTCCAGTTAACAGGAGAGTTTTATAGGAGGTTATTTTACTGGACTTTTTAGGCTGATGACAATCAGTTGGATGATACACAGCTCAAATTCCCCTGGTGGTGTTGTATTAAGGACATCCCTCTTTTTTTTTTTTCATCACTGGACAATTCTAAGCAGCTTTGTAGTTAAAGAAGAATTTTCCTTCTCCATCATATACTGTCTGGTACTTGGCTGCCTTTTATGGTCTTAATATAGAAGTATCTTAAAACTTTGTTTCAGTTATGGGATTATCCGTTATGTTACCCTTTCCACCCTGCTTTTGGTGAAAGGAAGGTTGAAAACTCATGTTGACTGTGACCCCACTTTTACAAGTCATAGTAGTTTATTGGTCTGTGTGTTTTAGACACTTTGATCTCAAAAAATGGCAGTGGGGAATTCTGTATGTATCTGCAGAGCAGCAGGCTGGAAGGCTTTTGCAAAATCCCTGAATAGGTTTGCATCAATAAGCAGAGCCTGGCTTTCAGCATGTGGGGGCTTATTCTCAGTGGCTGATGAATTGAGAATAGTTTTGATGGGTAGGAGGCAGTGTGGGATGGATCTAGTCCTTGAGGAGAGGGGAAGATGCCATACAATACTCACTAGTGTAAGTTTGCCTGAGGATAAGTGAGAACTGGTAAAGGTAATCTTGCTGATAAGTGGTAGAAAATGTCTCTTAAGAATTTGTTGCCCTTGCTATTTATTTTTTTTAGTGCAGTTATGTACACTATGTGTCTAGCTCACTTCAGAATGAGAAAACTTTCTGGCAACCTGTATTCTCAAGATTATTGCTTGAGTTCTTGTAGGTTCCTGTACTCGATATTCTGTGAACTGTCCTAGAGATACTGGGGCATGAGAGGCTGAAATGTGACCTCATAGTTTCCCTGGTGTGAAAGAGATGAGCCCATCATTACAGTCACATTTCTTTCACTTCAGAAAGTCATGTCTTCTGTGGGCTTTCCCAAAGAGAGTGCAGAAGGGATCAACATGATATTGATACCACCAAACAAAGGTGATTCTGAATTGTCCTCCTCCACACCACTTTCATCTGGATCTGTGAAACTTGAAGTGTACAGATTATCTGTTGAATAGGAGGTATTAAACCACTTTTCCCACTAGCTGATTTTCTATGAGGAGGATGAATCATTGTTTTGGGGTAGAATTTTCAAAATTTTCTGCTTAACCTTTATCAGTTTTCACTTACTTTGCTGACTATGACTGTGCTATCACAGAGCTTCATCCTGGCTCCCATATCTTTGGGAAGACAGACAAGACTTGTTTTGTGCTAACACTATGCTCAGTGGTAGCTGAGATGTGCATATAAAAAATGAAGTAAATTCTTGAAATTTATTCCTCTTTATTTTGTTTTTATTTTCAGTGGAATTTGGCTGAAACTCTATTCCAGCTCTTTGCACCCAAAACGGACAATTTGGAAAATGAAGTCTAAACAAACAGAAACTGTTTCTTTGGGCTGTGCTGCTTTACACGATAAAGGGCCTGGGTACTGGAAGAAAGAATACATCTTCAAAAAAACATCTGCCTTCAAAACTAGAGTAATGCGGCTCGTTAAATTTCTAGATCCTTATACAGGTCTTCCATGTAAAAACAAAGAAGCTATGAAGTAAGCAATGCCTTGTCACAAAGATTTACTTGAGAACAATGTATAAAATATTAATAACTTTGGGGGGGTATAGAATTAGAGCTAAAAAATGTATATCATAATGGGAAGATACAATGATAATTATAACTGACTGAAACTGAGGAAAATAAGAAGCAGCTATTAGAAATTAAAAAAATTCTATTGAAAGCATAGTTTAAGTTTTATCACTTTGGGAATTTGTTTTTAAACACCCCTCTCCCCTCTCAATTCCTGAATAACAGAGTCTCTGGGTTGAGTTGGATAATTGTCTTAAAGGACAAAAATGGAAAAGAACATGTAGTAGAGAAGCCAAACCTATCATTTAAGGACACATCTCTTACTGTACTTTGGCATGGTACAGACTGGCCATGCTTAGACATGCTGTCAACCCTGAAGCTATTTGGAGTTACACCGTTGCTTCCTGACCAAAGCATACCTCCCAACAGCAATGGGTGAGTTTTGACATAGGATTTTTGAGGATTTTTTTGGGTGCAACTGGTTGATAATGTGTCTGTATGAGCTATCTGACATTTGTTTGACTCAAGAAATTAACTCTTCATTTGAAAGCCTCCCTGCAATTTTCTTTCTATGTTCTTCTCTTCTTTGGTAGAGCTTTTCAGCAAGAAATAGTATAATCCAGCAAGCTATGAAATTAATTCATAGGTTAATGTAGCTCTTGGCATGTGATATGCAGACTGATAGGTCCTGACTTGGAAAGCTTAATCTAAGGTATAGACACAAATGAGCATGAAAGAAAAATGTAAATCTAGGAGAATTTATTGTGAGAAATTTAGCTTGGAAAAGTTCATCAGTATTTATGTGGCTACAGTCAGGTAATCTGTGTTGTAAAGTTTATTTTCTGTCTGGTAGGTGTGTGTGTGAATTTAGAGAACTTGGTGTTTAACTATGCATGCAATCTTCAGCATATGCATATAAAGTCACACAGTCCACAGCCTGTCCCTTGTTTTTTAACTTAAATGTGTACAGTGGTTTTTCTTGTTACAGTCTAAGAATATATTTAAATGAAAAGTGTCTATTTGAGGTATTTGTTTGCTGTCAAGGAGCTTAGCACACATCTGGGCCTAGGTGCAGTGTCAGGTACATGCTTCTTACACAAAGCCTCTAGCCATAGAGCTCTGAAAAGAGAGAGAATTATTTACCTACAAAACACTGGGTTCCTCAACCAAAAGAAAAGTATTTACTTAAAAAAGAAATAAATCAAGAGAAACTTTTGTATAAAGTTAGCTGACCAAGTCTTGCAGTCAATTATATAGGAAATGTAGTTGTTTTGCCAAGATGCTGATTCATATGTAGAAAATAAAAAAGAAAGCTTGCAGGCAATTGATGTACTTATTTCACAGAGTTACAGGTTTTTACAAATTGTGATTATAGATGAAGGCAGTGGATTCACCAGTTTCAGTATTGGTCATTGCTAAAACTGTAAGTGCAGCAACAGGCCTGATGACTGTTCAGACTGTAAGTGCAGGGAAAGGGTTGATGTTGATTAGTATGAAATTTTTTACTGTGAGGGTGGTGGGACACTGGAGCAGGATGTCCAGGAAGGTTGTGGATGCCCCATCCAGGCAGTGTTCAGTGTGTAGTTGTAGGTGATACTACAGCGATACCAGTGGAAATCTAGGAACTATTTTGAATACAATAAGAGCCTAAGTCTGAGAAGGATTTTAGAAAGACTTCTTTCTTCATTCTGAATAGGTAATCAAACTCTACTTTCTGCTCTTTTTTAAATGTGTCATTAGTTAATAAGAGTGTCCATGAACTTACATTTAAGAGTGTTTTGGAGCTAAATGGCTTTGATTATAGGTAAAAAATAAAAAAAAAATCTAAAAAAGGAAAGCTTTGAATAACACAAACTTTTAATTCATTATATATACAATTTGATCCTTTCCTTTGAATTTTGCTTCACAGTGATAAATGTTCAGTAATTCCGTATAGTATCAATAAAGTATCAAAAACAAATTGTAAAGGAATTCTGTAGTTTGAAAAGGTGGGCAAGCACATAAGTTTTTTAAAAGAGTATTTTAGAAGGTCATATAGTGTTTTTTGTTTCTTACCTTGTTAAGGTTTCAGGTAGATCCTGCTAGTACACTGTAGTTGTTCAAATGTATAGTTTATGACTCTGCATGCCAAATGCTTTCAAAACCATTTTCATCATGTTTGCTGGTCAGACTTCAGAGTTAAAAATATACTTAGGCTGAACTTTTACATGTTTAAGGAGACATAAACTTCTGCTACATTCTGTATGTTCTTTCCAAAGACCTCGTCGATTTTCCTTGATTGCTGAATACCATCTTGCTAACCTGACTGAAAATAGTGTAGTGGTTGGTGCTGATGAGCTTGTCCAGCTCTTCAGTCTGAGTCCAGGACTGTTAGTAGGAATGTGGAAGGTAAGATAACATTTTGTTTCAGTATTTTATTATTTGAAGGAAAAGAGTTGGGGTTTTTTTGGGTTTGGGGAGTTTTTTTTTTTTTTAATGTTTCTTTTTTTTTCTGTTTGGATTTTGAAAGATGTTGTCTAAACTAGTAACCACGCAACACATGTAGGGACTGTAAGTGGATGATTTATTATATCCTAAAGAGCTGTCGCTGGAGTATATATGCATAAAGAAATCTACTTCTAATTAAAAGATCAGTTATGTATCATTCTGTACTAGATACTGTGTTCAGTTTTACTTATTTTGCAGTCTTCACATGCCCAAGTTCGATATCCTAGAGTAATTTTCAATAGAATGGTTTGAGAAGTGCTTCTTCCTGTGATTCATGCCATTGCCTGTCCATATCAGTCAAAGTGATGAGTTCCCACATAGTGACTTAACTTTGATTTACATCACCAGGTAGCTGTATCCTGCTCCACCAGTAGGAATGCTGTAAATCGTGCCCTTTTGGGGGTACTAAATTCTTGTATTAAGAGTCTAGGTTAAGCAGTTAGCCTCTGTAGGGTGGGTGTAGATATGAGTCTCTTCAGAGGGCAGTGCAGGAACATCTAAAGTAGACTTCTACACAAAAGGAGTCTGCATCTTTGCATGGGGTGCACGGGGACCTCTGTGTCTGCCTGTTGCTGTGCAGGGCTGTGTGCTATGGAAGCCTATCTCAGGTGTTCTGCTCTTGATCTCAGTTCAGAGGTGGCAGCTCTTTTTTCCTCCCCTTAGTCATGCTGTTGACATTGACTTAGGTTATTTGGCACTGGCAAGGAACTTCCCATGGGGAGGCTGTGAACAATTCTTGGAAGTTGCCTAATTTCCCTCTGCAAGCATGGTGCCTCAAATGTGCACAATCACCAGAGGCAATGTTTGAAACTGCAGAAGGACTATTCCTTTCACTCTTAAGAGTAAAAGTCCATTTCCTAGAAAACTTGAGACTGCCTGACCAGCATAAACTTGTTACAGGTTGTTTCAGTCTGTGAAAAGCTCTGCTAAATGAGCAACCATTTCTCTCGTAACTTCAGAAGTTTTGTAGACTGGTGTCCCTGTATTGTTGGCTCTGTGGTCTTGCTTCGGCCCCATTCGTGCTTGGAAAGAGAGCTCTTTCAGCACCTGGAAATGGTTCAATCATAACCAAGTTCCACATAGTTGTTAAAAATGGAATGCCTCAATCTAGTATATTGTCCCTGCTTGTTTTTCTGAACAGCAGTTCTCACTCTCTGTGTAGGCAGAGTAATACGAGATAGTTAAGTGTCAGTGGGTGTAATAATTGTAAATGCCACACATCTTGTTTTTTAGTACATAGCTGCATAACAGAAACCAAGGGCAGGTTATGTGGGCCTCCTGGTATTTGGATAGAGAAAGACTGAGAAATTATGTGATTGATAGACCTCCCTAGTTAAATACTTTATAGCAGTAATTTTGTACTATGAACATACAGGAGTAGTTAAAAAGCCAAAAATTTGAATAGAGGATGTAATCCTCTGGTAACCCAGAGAGATGAAAACAGTAGTTGCCCATATTTCAGGAAAGTATGGCAGTGAATAATTTTCCTATTGACTTAGGTGTTTGTAAATGTAGGATTTAAAGAATGCATTTAAAGAAAAAAACCTGAGATCCTAGCATTCTGTGTTTTTGAAGTAAATACGTGCCTCTGTCTCTATTTAGTTTTCACATAGATGTTTTTTTTGACTATAGAAGGTTATGTTTTTAATATTTTCCCAGGAGTAAATAATCTGGTGAAGACACAATTTTTACTTTGAAATTCACAATTTCTATTGAATAATTCTGTGTTCCTCACTGATGTTAGCCCTCTTTGGAAATAGTTCCTTAGACATGAAAATAAACTTGATGCTTCAGTAGTTGGGAATAAGTGCTGTTTGATTCTGTTTAGGTATCTTTTTTAAAGTGGTCAGTAGAAGCTAGGGAAGTACAATTCTTGGATTGCTCTCATAATTTTTGCCCTGCCATAGCTGGCTTCTCTCTCTTTCCCCGTAATACAAAAGTGTTGCAGCCTTTTATAACTATTCTGTATTCTTGTGAAAAGACAGTAAAGGTTTTACGAGTCCAAGTGTTAAAGCAAGCCATTACTAACATTATTATAGTAATTGACAGAGTAATAAGCAGCAGCATTTATCTATGAATTTTAATGCTCAGAAAGACCTTGTGAAAAAAAGAATTTCCAGATGAAAATACATCTACTTTAATTAACTTTTCAGGGGAAAAATGAAATTGCTTTTGTTATGGCGAATCTTCATTATAATCACCTTCTTGAGAGAAGCATTTTGGGTTCTGCTACTGTGTAAGTAGAAGCATTTTGGGTTCTGTTACTGTGTAAGTTTTCCTTTGTGGGTAATAAAGATAACCTTTTGAATAAAGCTTTGAATTTTACAGTTAAAATTGGCTGCTGGTGAGAGGTTTATATTTAGGCAGTAATGAACTATTCTTGTTTAATATAAACAACAGGTACAGTAACTAAATAAAAAACTGTAGAAGCATTTTCATACTAAAATATGGCCATTGTTATGCTATTAAGAAGATAATTTAGTTATACAAGTGTACTGGTACTTGCCATATTGAGAAAGATAGAAATACACTGCACATACTTTCTCCCTTTCCACAAGCAGTCTTCTTATTTCCTCTTTCTATCTGAAACAGAAAGAAAAGAGAGAGACATTTCAGGAAGTAGGGAAGTAATCTTTGGCTGTGTAAGAGGGGGGAAACTCTGGTAAACTGGTGAGGTGCCTGCATTAATCTTTTAAACCTTTTGAGAAAGTAACTGGGTTTCCTATGAAGTGTTTGTATGATTTTTTAGCTTTAGAATAGTATTTGGGGATTTTATTTCCCACTCAGCTTTCTGGTCAGATACTGTTGTATCTACCAGTAGTCTTAAATGCCCACTATAACTTAGTGTGGCTCTTCTCACACAGAATGTAAGATTTAACACCATCTCCCTTAGTACCAAATTGAATCCTATGTAGAAGTTGCTCAGTTGCCTCTGGCATGTGGTCTCTTTAAGTCACTTGTGTACAGTACTTATTTAGCTAGCCTCAGACAAAATTATTTCAATATTTGCTATTTCAGAGAAGTCTCTAGAGCTAGTGGACTTTTATATGTGTAGCTGAGCTGATGCTTTTTTCTTTTTTGTAGACAAGTTCCATGTTTTGAAGTTTAACAGATGTACCTTTTAAAGTTGACTGCTGTATTTTCTGCCTTTGGGTAGGCTGAACAGCTGATCAGCAATATTAGACACTGTAGTATCTTAAAAGAAGCATGATGAACTAGAGATTTTTGATTTTGAAACCGTCTTAAGATGACGGTCTCAATGTTGGCCTGTGTGTTATATCTTTACTAAGTCATCCTCCCTTGCTAAATTCTATCTTTTTTTTTTCCAGTCAATATTCTCCTCCACCTAATAGACCTTTACTGGATGATATTGACTCAGAATATGGACTGCATGACTACAGGCTGCATCTTGATCTGCATGGCAGAAACTGCATGTACCTGTGTGGATCCTTCAAGTGCCTCTTCTGCAGAAAACGTAAAGTTGATGGAGCAATAATGTCTGTTTTAAAAATGATCCCTGCTGTTGCATCTTTCCTTCTTATATCCAGTTTCTCTGTTTTAAGGGGTGAAACTGAAATGGAATTTTAAGAGTAAGCTATCTTTCTGTTTGTGATGTGGTTTCTTTATATCTGCATGGTGCTTTGTGTGGCATCCTAAGCCTCCTCTGTAAGAAGTCTGCCTGCTGTTAATTGACACTGTCAGCCTGGCACACAAATTCTGCAAATTTTCTGGGTCTTTTATTTTAGTTCTGTGCTACATTAATAATACACTGGCACAGTTCTTGGTGCAGGTTGATGTTTCTTTCACATGTATTTTATAAAGGAGAGAGGGATACATATTAGAACCTTGTTTCTGTAGAATTCTCCTCAAGTATACTTTGGGTGCACAGACAGATTATATGTATAGATACATTTGTACAAGTTATTGTGAACTTTAAGATTTAGAGTTTCTATTTTGGTGAGCTTAATATTGCCTGTTTTGACATCCTTTCATTGTGTGGAAAACAGTCTTCTGCTGCTGCTGCATTCTGTTCTCAGAGCTTCTTTCCATGAGACATGATTGGCCATCCCTGTTCTACTCATACAGCCCAAATTTATAATTTTACCGAGGTTTTGAAGAGTACATGGGTGATCTCTCTTTTGACTTAACTTCAGCATAACTTCCTGTGCTACACAGCTGTCTTTCTGTAATCAGAGGTAGATTAAAATATTAAAATTGTACACTGTCATTAATTTAATTTAGAATTAAGTACTGTAAATTAATTATTGCTCCCCAGTATTTTTGTTTGATACCGGCACTCCTGAGCGGTGTGGGTTTCAGAACATACTGTCTTTCTGTCAGTAGAGGGCGCTGTTGTCAGGCGTGAGTTCTTTTACAGGGCTGTGGATTTTCCCCGTGATTTGGTTTGTTTTTTCTCATTTGTGTTTGGTGATTCCAAGAACTGTGCTTTAGATTGCAGCCTTATGCGGTGTGGAGTGTTGTTGCCCTTGAACCTGAAATATACATCTTTTCAGATTTTAGAAAAGCGCCAAGCTTGAATTAAAGGAAGACTTCTAAGGATAAAATTACAGCGAAAGTCTATGCATGTAGCTAGAAATCTTACCTGAAGTGTTATGTAGTACAAGAGTCCTCTTTATGTTCTCAGAAAAAAAATATTCTCAAAATTGGCCGGAGGAGTGGGTTTTTCTTGTTTAGCTGAATATCACATTTTTCTAAAATGAAAATGTTATACTTCTAGCAATACAGTTGCACAAGAAAAAGTACTATGTGACATACTTCCTTTCTTGGTATCACTTTCTTGCTGCTTAGAAGCTACTTCCACAAAAGATCAAACTGAAGTTTATGCAAGTTGAAGCAAATGTCCATGAGCTACTGTTGTGATGCCATCTCACTTTGCAAGTTACAGAATGTTTTATGTTCACGAGTGTTTTCTGAATTGCTTTGGTTTTGTGACCTTCAGCAATGTCACAGCCATCAGATTCTGGTCTCAAGGGACATCAGACAGCTGAAGCCATGGTTCTGCAGACAATAAGCTCATTTGTCATCTAATCCCTTCCATGCGCTTGCACAATAATTCCTTTTGGAAAATGCTTGACTTCCTCCAAAAAGGTGTGGTGAGGCAGCATATGGCTGTCTGCTGTCACATTTTTCATTGTGATATGTTATTAATTTTTCTCATTCTGGTGAACATGGTGTTGCTGAATGTGGCCAGGTTTGATTGTGTTGGATGGTTTGTGTTTTATTTTTAGGATCCATTTTAATAATGCACTCTATCCCGTCCTCTGGGAGGACTCGGAAGCATGGAAGTCCTGCAACATACTGGGAAGTCTTGCTATTTCTGAAAATTCTCTACCCAGTCCAGTTTTATTTTAAATTATAGATGCAACATACCCACAGCAGTTTCCACAACTTGAGGCACATACCAGTTGTGAGATAGTTCTGTTGTTTTACTTATTTATTGGTTTTCACTAAGAAGCTTTAGGCATTCCTAGGTTACCAGAGAATGCCCATTTGTATTTTGCAGAATAACTGATTTGTTCAAGATTAATTTTTGTCTGCTTTTTGTTTGTATATATTAATATTGTGCTGCCCTTTGCTACTCCATTTTCAATTTCATTTTGCTGAATTCTTAATATTAAATCAAAAAAGGTTATGTCACACTACATTGGACCAAGCAGATGGAATGTGTATGGCTACAGATTTTTTTCCTGTTATTATATTTGTATTGCAGTAACTAGCTGTTTTTTCACTGTTTTGGTTGGGATTTAGCATTTTATTTTATGCTCCTTTTCATGTAAACAGAATTTGTAATATGGTCTCATTGACAGGTACGGTAGGATGAATTTGTTAAATATGTTGTAACTTAATTGAAAATATTTAGAAAACTTTCCTTGTTTTCAGGAAGTTATGACAGGCTTTTCATATGACTCCCAGAAGCCATGGATCCAACTTCTTCATAAATATTTTTGAAATATATTTACCTAGGTTTTCAACTTTTTAAGCACAGCTTTGTAGCCTCATGGTAGTTTAAGCTTTTGCTTTTCAATGTCATTTCTTGTTGATGTAAAATGATGTGTTGTGCTTGCAAAATGTAAGGGTTGATTTTGGTGTATTTAGAGAACTGTTAAGCTTTGTTTGTAAAATTTCATATCAGGCATTTGAAATGTTTTGCTTCACCTTGAAGACTGATTTGCAAGTTTGAATAATGATTTTAGTGTGATAAGGCTGGTTGTTGGCTCCCAAATTAGTGTTAAGCATAGCTTTTCCTCTGAAAATACCAATCAAATGACAACTTGCAACAAAGGCTTGGTTAGCAAAACAAACTTCTTGTCTTTTAGTTAAAATAAGTGCTTTGCAACTATTGGTCTATTTGTTTCTTTCCCCTGAGGTTTGTCTACATGTTATATATTCTCTTTGTTGGTATTACCTTTATTTGGAAATATTTGTTCCCTATAATTTACTCTGCTGCTTTGCTTGCAGTTGCTATGCGTATCTTGCATGAGTCAAGGACTAGAAATGTCATAAGGGAACAATGAAACAAAGTTTGGATCAGCCTGAAGAAAGCCCTGTCCAATTTGCTTCCTCTGTGTTTCTCTTTGTATGTTTAACATAGCTTAATTCTGCCCTTTAATTTCATTTTCTCATCTGACTGGGGTGAGGAAGGGGAGATTTCATTACTTAGCCTTCAGTTTCTTGCTTGTTTCTAGGCTGGCTTTTCCTTCCTTCTGAATGTGAGGACTGAAATAGAGCTTTTGTATTAAAAAAAAACAAACATATATAAAGTCTGGATTAACTAACCCATTAAGAATTAGCTTTCAGATTCCTGATCTGTTGCTTGTTTCCATTCTGGCTAAAGTTAAGAAGTAACTGCAATGCATCATAGCCGGATGATCTATCTGGCAATGTGTATTAATGCCATGCAATAGTAATTTATTAGCAGAAGAATGCTTTTTTCAATCCTTTTTTATTCCATTCAAACTTCATGTGATCTGAATGAGTAAGAGAAATAGCCACTTCCATGCAGATTGGAATTGTGCATAACCAAGGAGTCCTTTTGGAAAAAATGCTTGTTGACTCATGTTTTCAAATTTCTTGTATAAAAGCTCAACTTTAAATGTGGACTTTCAGTGGTTAGTCAGTAAACTATTTCAATAAGATTTTTACCTTGAATGGAATTTTGTCATTGAATTTGATTTACTGAGGTTTTGGAACTGGACCATTTGGACAGGTGGTAACTTATGGCCTTTTTCTACTTTGAGCTGGATCCTGGCAATGAATTCTGCATACATTTTCCTCACTGACTTCTTTTGCACTTCACTGAAAGTGGGTATCACAGCTTGGAGGATTGCATTTTCCTTCAACTATAATGAAGTATTTCCTACAAAATGTTTCTTGGGCATACTCATGTTGGTTTCACTGTATTCGCACTCCTATTCCAAACAGTGTCTGTACTGAAAATCCTGCAGCTGTTCTCTGTCATGTGCTGGCCAGCTTCCTTTCTGTAATAACTGTTCTTCAGACTCCCCACTGGTGAGTGATGCCTTTCCAGCGTTGGTTTGTGGCCAGCTGTATCTTGGGAGTTGCTTGGCTCTACCGTACCAATTCAGAGAAGTTTTTGGCCTCTGTGTTAAAGTGTGGGCTTTCTTTCTCCATCAGTGCCTCCAACTATCTGCTTCAGGTAGCCACCAAGCAGAGGTTTTGCTGCCCCTGCATGCTGGATGCAGCCACTGAACTCGCAGCCAGCCTTCCTGATGTTGCTGCTTCTGTAGCCTCATGCTGCTGCTTGGGCTTGATTGAAGGAGAATCACAGGCAAAACACTTCTGCCTTTTGTACTTCTGCCTCTTGCATCTTAAATCTCTGCAAGTCCCTTCACTTGTTACCTTACCATCCAGGACCTACTACTGGATCCTGACAAGCATTATGTTCCTGGGAATTCTTCTCTCCCTTTGTATCTGTCTCCTGCATGTGCTAGATACTCTTTTTTCTACTGAGGTCTCTAGTGCTTTTGTTTTGCTCTTTTGAGAGATTATCTCTTGTTCAAGGAAACTTGTTTAAGGGATGTCCTACCAAGAAATCTGCTTGTGTCATGATGTGATGCTTTTATTTTTACTTTTCTTTGTAGTCAGATCATGTTCACTATGATGTACCCCAAGTTTAATTAGACTGTTGGATTCCCTGGTTAACTTTCCTTCTCTGACAGCAAAAGAAAAAAAAATTTTAAAAAAATGCCAATCTCTTTTGAGAGGAGAGGAAGAGATTCCAAAGAAATATGGTTATATGTAGTCATAAAAAAATCACAAATCATAGTTATTCTGCCAAAAAAACCCCAGAGGCCTTGGAAAGCTATTTAAAAAATGAAAAAATCCATAATTTAAAAACTTGATTCAAATCAAATCATACTTCATGTCAATTCAAATGATGCATTATCCTTTCTAAGGAGGAATAGTTATCTGTGTGCCTTTTGTATTGGGTTATTTGAGTTTCCAGTCAGACATAAGAGATTTGAATAACTTGAAAAAAAAAAGGTTGGGGAGGTATCTCATTGTTTTATTTTGTGTGTTAGTGTTGAGCTTGACTTCTGGGGAATGGGAAGTTATGGAGGCACTGGTGGCATGAAATTGAAATGCTGGGTGTGAAATTTACTCTTTGCATCCTTGTGTAAGTTCTTTAGGTAGCATTCCTATTTTTGTACTAAAAAATACAAAAGATTTTTTTATCTGCAGTTTCTACTGTGAATCACAGAATCAAAGCTCCAAACTGCAATTTGATTCCTCTATAAAGTGCTTGATGTTTAGCTGTTGGTGTATGCCAGGGTTTCTTACTGGTGAGTGGGAAGAAAAAGACATGGAAAGGAGATAAGAGAACATTTACAGTGTACTTGAGCTCAATTTGATTTATGCTGCTGTAATGTTGTATGTTGTTTATATTTTCAGGTGACATTGAAAATGGATACGTGAGGCTCGTAGTTGTAAACTTAAAGGATAACAGGAAGCACTTGCCTATTATTGGGACACTTGGCATATGCTGGGAAACAGATGTATTTAAAGGCAATGTAAAGGTCAGAAATATTCTTTGTTTCTGGAAATGCTTACCTCAAAACAGAGTTGTGTTTGTGCATCCTAAATAGGCTAATTTTTAAACAACCTTTTGTTTTGTAGAAGCTGTCTGTAACCGGACAAAACCTCTATTCCAATATTCAAAAAAAAAAGTGAATTTTCAGGAAAAGAGTTTTCTCTTTTCTCTCATAGACTCTGGATTGCATGATAGACCCATTATCTGTGTGTAATTGCTTTCCTCTCAGCAAAGATGCTGTGACTGACCAGCCCTTGGAAATGCTGGACAAAAAAAATGTACTGCAGATGTACTTTTTGTGGGGATTTTTTTTAAATTTGGTGTGAGAGTGTTATTTTTTGTTTTGTGTTTTTTATTTCTTTTGGTTTGGTTTTTTGGTTGGTTGATTGGGGTTTTTTTGTGAGCAATAAGCCTTGAACCTCTGGGGAAATACTCTGCAGTTCTGTTCTGTATGTGCAGTGGAAGTTAGGAACTGCTGGGGATTATTAAAATGCCAGTGGACACAGGAAACTACAGTCCACATCCACACAGTCAGCACCAGCTCCAGTCAGGTACATCAGTCAGCTAGATTAACTCTTTATTTTAGAGGAATGCTCACACATTCTATTGGATAAAATTCCTAAAAGAATTATTTCAAACAAAATTTCAGAGTGGTTCTGTAGCTTTTGCAATAGTGGTGAGGGCACATATTTTTAAATATACTTTATCAGCATGAATATTTCAGAAGCTGTGAAGATTCTGATAAATATGATTTAAGCACAACTGAAAAATCATCTAGTTCAACCTTTGATTTCAATTTCGTCACTTCTTTTGGAAAAAACCCTCAGAATTAATAAAAATGTTGTTTCTGCCAATCCTGTATGAATTTGGAATGGAATACTCTTTGATGAGACTTTTTTTACCAAAGCATGTAGTGACAAAACAAGGAACAATGTTTTTAAACTGAAAGAGAGTAGATTTAAACTGGACACTCCATGCTGAGCATGGTGAGGCAGGAGAGTTGGAATTACATGACTTATAAAGGCCCTTTCTAACCCAAATAATTTGTGATTTTATAGGATTAACAGCTTCTTGGCAGAGTCTTTTTTTTTTTTTAATGAAAAAAATCCTGAGTAGTACATAAGAATTTACATTATGTGTCAGAGGAAACAGAGAGCTATGGCTGTAGTCTTTAGTTTTTTCAATTTTAATCATTTTTCTATGTGCTTACAGCATAAATTATATTTAATGTTTGTTTCTAGGACAAAATAAAGAGTGCAGTATTTTTTTTAAACCTCATTTTGTGATGAGAGATGGAATATGTCAGCATATAGCTGTGGGTCGAATTCAGTGTAGTTTTTACCAAAAGTCTCTAAAATTCTTGAAGCATGTGAATGTCAGATGACATCAGCCACAAAAGTAGGACATTCCATTACTTTGAATTTATTTGAATTTTAGCCAATACTTTAAAGAAACAAGAAAACCCTAAAAACTTCCTTGGCACTTCTGGGGTTTTCAAAAAAAAATTAATTTCCGAAGTACAGATAGTTGGAAATTGTCATAGGAATGGTATTTTCCAATTAAGTATTCTTACTGTAACCACTCCAAATCACACTCCACTGGCTTGCTTTCCCCTTCCTCTCCCCTGTGTTGTGCTGGAGTGGAGAGGTGGAGGCGCAAAAGGTAAAGATCAAGGTTGAGATAAGAGCAGCAATGAGATAAGAAAACTGAGAGTAACAGCAATAATATTAACAAGAAGAATGTACAAGAGAGGGGAGTGATTCATGGCCAAATGCTCACCATGGAGCACAACCTGACCATGGCACAATACCCCTAAGGAGAAGAAAGCCCTTTCCTTGGCCCTGGAAATGGGGTGAGGTGGTGTAGAAAAACCAGCCTCTTAGCCATGCTCCCTCCTGGCTAAGTCAGAAATTAACCAGATCCTGACCAGAACTAGGACAGAAATGCATGGGAAGACCCCACCATCCCAACGCCATCCTACTTTACTATTCATAATTAGCTTTTTATATGCAAGCTGTCAGACCAGAAAATAGTGATTCTTTCATGTTTCCAGTGATTCTGTAGCTCATATAAGTTTATTACACCATCATTAGGTTCAGTTTGAATTTTGTATTTTCAGCATAGTCTACAGTAAAAAGCTTAGGGAAACTATGTGTATCATATTGCCTCATGTTTGTGCCATCTGCCCTTCTCTTGTTTGATTGAAGTAAAGTAATAGTGAAAGCAGTGTTAGAGCAACAGAAGCACAACTGTGTAGTACAGAGAAATAAAGCATTCCAAATGAATTTTTTTTGGCATGGAATATGTGATGTTGGTTTGTTTACCCTTTTGGAGCACAGATATAACATAATTAAGATAATTTGATTCATTTAATGATTCAGAACTCATGAGAATAAGGAACAGCTGATACTAACAATGACACATTACTCCTATGCTTCCAAGGGATATGTGAAACTATCAGTTTGCCAAGACCAAGGAATTGGCATTAACATTTTTAAATTATCTAGTTGTGTAATCTTGTAAAGAAATATTTTCAAGAAGTTGTAAGTGGAGGAATTACAGCAAGATTCTTAATATTACCTTTTTGGGAACTGAAGCTGTGAGCCTTTCAAAGAGTATTGTATACAGCTGGTTTGGAAGGGTAATTGTGTGTGCACTGCCTTGGGTGGTCCCTGAGTATCTTTGCAAGCATTGCTGTATTCACACAAGTTTAGCAACTGACTTTAAACTTAGGTTGCTTTCTCATATTGAAGGGACCATCATTATTTGAGTGGTAAAGTAACTAATAGTTGAGAAAAACAGATGTTAAAGGTTTAAAAATGTTCAAGAAGTAATGTTTGATTTGGTTTGGCAGTGGTACCTTCTGTAGCACAGCATTTGATGTGTGTAGGCTGCAGTTTCGATTTCTGCCGGAAACTTCTAAGTATGTTTTTGTTGCAGTAGGTCAGTGAAGCGCTATCAATTGTATTTTGAGGTTTTAGCCTTTGTGCAAAACTCTCTGAACCTCTACTTACTTTGCCATGACATAGGGAAATAATCTCTTCTGCTTGTGTTTGTAGGACTGCTTTGTGATGGATCTGACTCTCTTGGATGAAACTGGAATGCCTTTCTGGTGTTTTAGTGATCCAGTCCGCATGGAATTGTCTACCAGGTCATCTGGCCTTTATGACTACATGGGTCATGTCTATACTGCAGACTATGCAGATTCAGAGGGTAAAGTCTGTGTTGAGTTTGTATGGTTGGAAGAAACCAAGGAATATATTATTGTCAGTTTGGTGCTTTATGTAAGCACCAAAAAGGTAAATAGCTGGTATGGAACAAACTACTGACCTAATTAGGTCACTAATTTCCTTGTTTTGAGAACCAAACAAACAACCCTGCTACAACAAAAAACACAGTAAACTGGTGATGCTTAAGATTGACACCAACAAGCAAGACTGTTCCTGCAAGGTTTGCAGTAACAAATGCAATTGCCTAAATTTTTTAATAGGCAATTGAGGAATCAAAGAGACATATTGATATAAGTGAGAGGTTTTCTTCTCTGTTGAACATTACATGGTTAGTCTGTTTCTCACTGGCTATATTGAAAGTATTTTCAGGAAGACTTCTTTATAGACACTTGTTACTGTGGTTAAGGAATTGGTTCTTTTGAGAGCCATGCTGTGAAGATGCCTTACCTTCCATAAGCTACACTGGTTTTGAGAACATTGACTTTTATGCTTAGTAATAAAACAGCGTGTGTGCTGTTCCCTCCAGGTTTGTTGGAGTGTAATTGGTAAATGAGAAGTTTTGTTAAACGCTTTTACCAGAAAAACTTCACTGAAATGTATTTTAGTAAAAGATTGAAAGGCTAGATGGGAAGCCAGATCTGAAAATGTGTCAGTCAAGGCATTTGTTAAGAAAGTTGTGTAAAATCTGTTTATGGTGTTTCTCTAAATTCTTGTTTGTTCTGTTTTCCCATGTTCTAACCTTGTCTGATTGAGACTAGATACTTGCCTTACATACTGGCCTATGAATAAGTGTCCCAATTATCAGCCAACCTGAGCTGATGTTTGCTCTTACGGAATGTATGGAACATTCAGTTGTTTTGGAAACAATGCATATCTGATGCTGTTTATCTAACAATATGAATCCATATAAAAATTGAATATATGTGTCTAATCTTTCCAGTTCCATGGAGTAACTTTAGAATCAAAATTTCTACTTTCTGTATTAAAATAGTTTTTTCTAAATTACAAGATATTGTGAGTCTAGTGTCATTACCTAGCAAGGATAATTACATTGCTGCCTGCTCTGACTTTATTATGGTAGTGATTTCCTTAAAAATAAATTCTCTCTATTTGTTTATATACATTAGTTGATTTGTGCAGAAAATGTTCATATGTAAGCACTGTCTTCTGTGCTACAGAGGTAGATAGATATTACAGCCATAAAGTTGTTTCTTAATTTAAGTTTCAGAGACAGCAAGCTGAGGTTGACACAGTTCCAGTTCACCTTGTTAACCTTACCTAAAGAAGCAGTGGAAGTGTTTCTACATTTTGTCATTAGGCAGACTAACAAGAGTGATCAGCTGCATTTTGTCTTCTTTCTTACTGACTGCTGATGGGGACAGGGATCCCTTGAAGTGATATAAAGGTTTTAACATGTGGACTGGGTGTGATGAATGCCAGAATGACAGACACTGAAAGTGATCTGTGCAGACAAGTGGCCAGTCTATATTTTTGTTTTTCCCCAGATTTAGTTTTTGAGTTAGTAGTTTTAGAAAGGAAATAGTGGCTCAATCCCAAAGTTTTCTTAGTCGTTGGCCTTACTGCTAAGCTTGTAAACAAAAATGTAGAATTATTCGGGATACATTGTTCCTTTGAAATGTGCAAGTATGTTCTCTTCCCTGCTGTGAAGGTACCAGGGACAATGGGCACCCAGCAGCCATCAAATATTGAAAGGTCTGTCACTGTTCATTCCAGCTGAATTTTTATTGTATTTCCAATATTTCTGGTTTTAGTGTTTTTTAATAAAAATAAAATACTTCCTTTAATAAGCAATTTCAATTTCTAATTAATTTGATTATTTTATACAATTACTTGATTAATTTGATTATTTTATACAATTGAATTGCTTTATAGAAAATGCTGGCATCGCTGTTGGAAGTGGAAGAGGAGAGTCTGCTGTCCCTACCCCTGACATGCTAATCTAGTAGCCTGAAAGTTTACTATCTGAATTGATTAGGATGAGAGTAAGTCTTTAGCAGCACTGTCAACCTAAAAGGTGATACAAGGCAGAGCAGTTTTGTCAGGTTATTGCTGGCTTATTTCTGCTGTGCATAAACATATATTCAGCAAACCCAAGCAAACTGTTCCAACATCTTAAAAAATGGACCCAAATGTTGCAGAGCTGTTCTCCTGTATATTCACAGGCTATAATTGCATCCTTTCTGAAGATGTGAAAGATATGTCCTGAAACAGGCCTCAGATGGACCTAAACTTGATCTCATGCTTATGCCACTCCTTTGATTTCAGCTGACAGTTGCTTTTAACTTGCACAACAGAAGTAAATTCAGTAGCCACCAGCTGTATGATCAAACCTGGTAAGTTATATATGCCTTAACTCAAGCTTCCATTTCTTCAACTCTCATCTTCTTTTCTTTGTATAAGTAAGGACACAGACTGAACTTCCAGGAAGGAAAGGGTTTGCATTACGAAAACTGCACTGGTCTATTTCATGAAAGATCCCATCTGTTCCAAAAACTGATGCTTTGATAAAATCATCTCCTAATCTTCTAAGTCCCGTTTTATATACCTGGTGCAAAAGGTGGTAGAGTGAGTTGCATGTACCATTCTACAGTAAAAGATTCTTGTTATATAAAAGACAATTATTAGAACAAACAGGAAAGATGGAGGTACCAGTTGAAATCTTGTCATGTCACAACTGGTTGTGACAATAAGCCATACCAGCACATTTTTCTTTTAATGCCTCAAGATTTTTCTTGCAGCTGTTTTTAATAATTTTGTGTTACATACTGAAGATAGAACAATGTGTTTGTTGTAATTTTATGCTTTATACAAGTTGTATGACAGTTTCTGTGAGAAGTATAAACACTTGTAAGTTAAAAATTTTACTTGTGCACTTCAGGTACCAACTCATCCAATTAAAAATAGAGCAACCCCTACCAACTTCCAAATGTGTATGTTTAAGTACACTGCAACAGACAGAACTATGGTATTTTTAGAGGGTGATTTACATGGTAGGCAAGCATAAAAACAGTACTTATGTTTATTTTAGTGCAGATATAATAGTGCTCATTTAACATAATGAGTTTAAATTGCATTGAAAAGGAATCAGTGTGAAAGTGAAAGGGGCTTTCATGAGATTGTTGTAGCAGTAGAGGAGTTGTCATCTAATAGAACTACATCTAAATGTTAATCCTGGTATTTATCCTTGTTTTGCTAGATGTCTGCTGTGTACCTAAATGTTTCTGTATTCTGTCTTCTTCATTTTTTAAAAAATACTTTTAGGAGGTATTTCTAAAGGGAAAATATCTTCAATGAGCAATTCATTAATATTTTTGGGTATTTAATGTGATCTTCCATTGATACAAGCTAGAACAGTTGGTTTACATCATCTGAACAATTGTCTTTAATTTTACCAGTGCCACTATGGAATCATAGCCCTTTACTGCATTTGGCTTACCATAGTGGGAAGCTAATAGCAGCTATAGATTCTGAAGTCTTTGTAGCACAGGCAAGTAATGACATTATTTTTCTTCCAACTGGCCTGTCAGTTGCTTTGGTTTTTCTTCCCTTCTTTTTGCAATTGCTTTTATAATACATTTCAGTTGCAATGTGCTTTTTGGTATCTCTGATTTAATATGGAAAGCAATTGTATGCTTTCCATATGTATGTGAATGATTCATTGACTTTACTCTTCTCTGTTTGGCCTCTTTCCCTGTTTATCAAATATGTTTTGATTTGTATTCATCCACTAGGTTGTTTAGGTATGGTTTTGGTTTTGTTGAAACTGTTCTCATTGTCATGTGCTTGCTTTTAGAAACAAGGACTATCTTCCTTTTTTTATTTCCCACTCCCCCAGGTACATGGCTACCTGATACTAGGGATTGAGTGCTTAGCAGAAGTACATGAATAGGATACCATCAGCTGAAATGGATTAATTCTGTTTCAGATTAAGAATTTAGGCAAGTGATCAAGTTTTATATGTTAGGTATATCTGAATGATTTACTGCCTGGCAACAGTTACGTAGTAGCCTACACTGTATTTACCAGACTGTTCAATGTATTCAAACAATTAGAAGGAGATTAGGTAAAAGCATTTGCTTTTCTGCCTTTGTTGTGTACTAGTATGGCTCAACTGATTTGCTGTGTCTAAGTTAGTTGAGATAACTGAAATTGAACTCAAACATAATTGAATTAGAAACTGTACAGAAAAAAAGGTGCTTCAAGAAGTTAAAATGAGAACAAGTGATGGGTTTTGTACTCTGTTTGTGTGTAGTGAGTTGGAAGGACATTAGTATGAAAAGTTAAAGCCTGTCTCTTGCAAGCATCATAAATCAGAGGAGGAAATGGTGGCAACAGGGATAACTAGAGTATGGTGAGGAATTTATCATTCTGAATGTCAAAGCATGCTTATTCTAGTCTTTCTGACTCTTAAATGGTTTAAAATTTTTTCTCATGCTGTGCCTCTAAAAATGTTGGTGAAAAAGGAGTAATGATACTTTGTTAATGCACTTCAGTTGTGGAAGGTTTATAATGAAGTTGAAAACTAAGGTTTTTAAATGTATTGAAAAAACTAAAATGGGAGTTATTTTTTCTGGATTTAAGTTGCTAATCTCCTTTTGAAAAATGATGAACCTTTTGAAGGGAGATGCACTTCTGAGTCAGACACTGATCATCTGTTGGTAGGTAGAAGTACTTCTGTTCTGCTTATAGGCCACTTAGAATATATGTTAACAGTTATTTCTGTCCTGAATCAGTCATAAAGTTAAATTCAGCTGTCTTGATGAAATGTTATCCAAAAAATGCAAGGTAGAGAAAAACGTGTAATAGCTCTGTTATGCCCTGTTTATTCACTGAAATACTACAAAGCAGTTTAATCTGCAGGGGTTAGAAACTATTTAACCATTGAACAAAAAATACCACCACCAAACCCCTCAAGTTAATGCAAATGCTTAGCATATCAGAGCTCAGAATCATCAATATCCCTTCTGTATCAAACAAACAATATACTTAGAAATAGGGCAGAAAACCCCTTGTTTAGAAGAATCTGAAAATAAAGATTATAGATTTTAAAAACCCTAACAAAACCCTAAAACCTTAGAAAGTATACTGAAAGCTCTCCATGTTTGGCAAAATCTGGAAATAATGGATAAAGCTATTCTTACTTGTGATTATCAGCGGTTTTTTGTTCATTTTTTTTCTCATTTGTTTTTAACACCTTGATTTGCAACTTTGCCTTTTCTGATAGAAATGTGGAAAGAGAGGCACACTTGTGTACCTAGTGAAAATGTTTAACAAAAACCTTGAAAGTGAAGTAACGTACTCTGTAACTAAATAATTTTATTCTGGGTTTGCTACCTGGATGAGATAGTAAATAAAACAATATTTTTGAGAAAAAACCCTCATCATATAACTATACCACATGTCCACCATGTTTTGTTCTAATGACACATGTATATAAGGATCTTAAAATTTCAGTTTGAATGCTACTGTGGAGTAATGAATGGAATATTTGTGTGTGAGGAAAGACAGAACTTTGTAAGACTAGCGTTCATCCATCCTGTAGAGACATTTAATGAACAAGTAATGGTGTACTAGAATTACTTAGTAATTTTTTAATTTCAAGTTTTGCACCTGCTTTCAGTGTTGTAGAAGACATTGTAAAGACTGAACTGGAAATAACACTGTCTTTAGAAAGTAGTAGAAGTAATTGATAGCATACTCTTTTTTAGAAACTCATCATTTCGTGTTTACAACTTATATATTCAAAGCATGAGCCAAAGGCAGCTATTTTGGCCTTCAGTTTTCACTATTTTTTGTAACTATGTAAGTATTTGTGGAACATGAGGATTCTTGCCCTTATACTTCAGTATTTCTGTAGGATCATAACTGTCGTAAGGATTGAAACTCTGCTTTCATGC